GTTGGTCAGTTTGACTGACCTTGTAACAAGAACAAAGTAAATCTAAATTACCCTTTTTTTTCTATCTAGAATGGCTTCAAATTGTAACTTGAAACTACATTTGTTTATCATAAATAGATTTGAACTTGCAACAGTATACACTTATTTATATTTAAATGTTATTTTTTAATGCCCTTTGAACGGAGTCTAACTACTATTCTCTCATAAAGTTGTAAATCACTTGGCAAACATGTAGCTCACATTACCCTGTCAAAGTATGTAATACATGAGCTACTAGTGAGTTGATTGTGACTGTAGCTCATGAAAAATTATTTATTTTGCCTGATCTAATCTAAAAAGTTTCTAATTTTACATTTTAGTTACTTTTATAATAATAAATGGAGAATACACATGAAAAACAAGAAATTAGTATTTACTCAAGTCTTTTTTTTGCTGCCAACTGTCAATGAAACTTAACCATATTTTTTGTTTCATACTAATGGTACTATTGTACTAAATATATATATATATATTTTGTATTTAACCCTTTCACTACAGGCTCAGTCCCAGGGACCAATCTTGTAACCATTTTTTGCTTGTTATAAGTTGCATACTATAACTTTTAATACAGTATGTGTATCTTCACAAAATTTGGCAGATTATCATAAAAAGATAAGGCTTTCATACAAAAAAAAGTATCAGATTTTTTTAATTAAGCATTTTCTCATGCATTTTTTCATTTAAAATGTTAACTATCCCACCAAGATTAAAAATATTTATGCATCGAAAGTTATCCAATTTCATTTACGAAATCTTAATAAACTCCTAAAAAAATCCATTTAAATATCAAAGTGATCTGTCATGGTTTGAATAAATAATACACCAAAGAAAACAGAATAATAACATACAAAAATCAGAAAATGTACTATGAGAGTACTTAAAATTGGAAAAACAGACTGCAAATTTTGTTTGAATAAGAAACAGCTTGCCTTAAGTGCCTTATTGAAATATATATTTTACACACACACACAAACACACACTGAACAACACATTAAGAATATTATGAAGTTATCTATCTGTAACTAAACTATTCTTGCACATATCAACAAATCTTATTCAACAAGCCAATTTCATTGAATGTTAGTTTTCTCCTTTTCTGTACTTCATTTTTCAGTAGTAATTTGTTTATCACTGCTGAAACATTGCATGGATGTAGGTGGTGAGGTACACAAAACAAAACAGTGTATTACACACAAAAATTACGAAGGAATAATAGATATCCTTTCAATATTCAGAATTAAATTTCTTCATCACAAAAATGGTTTGGAACTACGTTGTACAAAGTATTGTTCACATGGGTTATCGAAAGTGCTTAAAGTGCCATTGATAATATTGATTTTAAACAAACCTATTAAAGGTATTAAAATTTAATTCAGTCTCCAGAATGGAAAAGAGGTACAATCACTATAGTAAAATAGCATATCAAATTTGAATTTATTTGTCTTAAATACAACACAAAATATAAGGAACTTAGTTTTACTTAAGCACTAAACAAACACATGTATAGGTAATAATAAATGATTATGATAATTATTTGTTATTTATAAATATGACTATTATTAAGATGTGGATATTGTGTGTTGATTTGAGATGGATATTCCACAAGGATCAACATACCAGGCTTGAGAGTTTCTGAATCACAAGTTAATATTATTAGGAGGGATACTTCTGTTATGTAGTTTTTGATTGAGTGAATCAAAAGAGTCAATTCAGATGGAACTCTGACTCGATTATCATGATTTGTTGTAATGTATTATTCAAAATGAATAAGTCATTCACAAATGACACGTCTCTACAAAACACTATTCTAGTATTAACCATACTAACCACGGGCTTAATTCAATACAGCAGAAGGTCAGTTTCAGTGTTCATTAAGTGTGACATAAATATGTAGACCATGATAGGCTTGTGCATTTGTATTATGAATTAGCTATCTGATGCCTGATATCACCCATAGCTAAAGAGAGGCTTAGGCAAACACACAGTGCCTTGGCAATCCATATTCCTAGAGCATGTTACGTGGAAAGCTGTTTCTTTGATTCTAGTTTGTGCTAGTAATCTGTCTTCCTAGAACATGTTCCCTGGAAATGTTCCTTTAAACCTAGTTTGTATTGTGTTGTTGATACAATTGAAGCTTGAATAGTGGACTGCTTTTGTTTTCTCTTCTTAACATGATTATAAATGCACATACACAATACATAAATATATAGATGTATTGTAAAAGAATGAAAAAACTGGAAACCTACAAGAAAAATGTAGTGCTTTATGCTTTGGTTTGATAGATCTGTAAATTTACATCATGACTTCTGTTTATTCTTTTTTCCTTGTCTTCTCTATGGTTCTCCCCTCCCCCTCCCTTGTAGTGTTCAGTTTGACTGTTTCAGTTTTTGGATAAAGTTTATAGTTGAATGCTCTTCCTTCTCTTAATTTTTGTTGTCTATCTGCTTCTGTAAAATGTATAGTATAAATATGGTGCTTCATTTTATTGTAAATTAAACAATATCATTACCATTTTCATTAAGTAAGGAGTTCCAGTAAAAGTAATCTCCTCTTTTTTATGATTATTTATGTATTTATTTTTGCAGTTTAGGTGATAGTTTGTGTATGGATAATGCAATATTATGCAGAACTCATTTACTGGACTTTATGTAACCTTGCATGGTTATTTATATTGTGATAATTTAATTTTGTGTGGACACATTATTTTACTACATAAATTGTACTATGAAATATTAATAGACAATCTAAAAACATTTTATTAAACATCGGTTAAAAACACTTCAGTGGTATATTTTACTATTGTACATGATATTTTCATTCCGATTATTAATGTAAAATATAGAATGAAAGTATTAAACTTACATAAAAAAGCAGCTCTCAGTCATCTACAGGTTATGGAAGAACATTTAAAACTTTTTCAAATTACTTTTATATTTTTCCATAAAAATATAGTGAAAAACTTGTATTAAATCTCTTTTGATTGTAACCTGTTTTTCTGTACCCCCATTCTATTCCCTTCATTTGACCCCTTAATTCTGTAAAGCACTATTCAAAACTCCTTAAACAGGACTTAAATTAAGACTAAAAATAAAACAATGAAATAAGTATTACCTTTGCCGAGATGTCCAGCTGCTGTTAACATAATGTCTCTTCAGATGTGTATTATTCTTTCCTGACAGCCTATAGCCACATTCTTAATTCTTTTCTTTGTTATTTGCGATAATAATGTTATTGCAGAACATTTTGTTTAGTTGGTTATCATGTATAAAATATTGCCAAATGTCCAACCTTTTTTTCTCGCAGTAAAAAGCATTTTGTGTATAATATTTAGCTAGCCTCAAGTATACTATATCAGCCACAGAGGTAAACAGTATATCAGCCAACATCAACATGTGTCACCCCCCCTTTTTTTTTACCACAAATAATTTTAAATAATGGTTCACAGGCTTCAATCTGCAAATTAAGGGTTGTGTGGAACATCAATTTATTCTCCTAAGTTTTGCATCAAAAAGGTAACCTTGTTCTGGAAGATTTTTGTCCACTTGTCATCATTGATAACAAAAAACATAACTCTTTATTCAGGAACATTTTGTCAAAAAATTCACCATTGAAATTAACACTGCTTGGAATTGAAATGAAGACTGGTTTTATTTCACTTGTAATGTTCCAGTAGTAATGTATGATACAATTGACTTTAAATGGGAGTAGGTGTTGAGTTATGTAGAAATGCTGTATCTTATATTTCGTTTTTTGTGTGCGTCATTATTAGAAATATTTAGGCTTACAGTGCTTGATTTGTACTGTCTATTAGATAAAAGTTAAGTTGTACTTCATAAACACACCCGATGTTCATCACCTAGCCTGCTCTGTTGCTGCACTTTCATCAACAGTTTTTGTTCTAACCATTTCTTAATATTTAACAAGATGTCAGAGTTTGAGTTTCTTATCTTTAACCTGCTTTTCTTTAGTTTCTTCTTCATTTATAGTTTTAAGTTAATCTGATTTGTTGTGTGTAGAACTTTGTGATTTACTGGTGCATGTTAATATATATGTTTCTATGTGGTATTTTTACAAGAAACTAAAGTACAGAAATATTGTCTTTCATAATATGGCATTGATTTTTGGCAATGTAGAAATATTTGTTATCTACAGAAGTTGATCGTGATGGGTGCTATGATTCTCAGCATTTTAACTCAACATGAAATGGCAGATTAATTACATTACTGAACATGATAATTGATATCATTTTGAGCAGATAGTGTTCAAAATGAATTATACTTTTTATCATATTTTAAATTTTTTGGTGTGTTTTTGTATAAATATCTAAAGAGATTTTCCTTTTGGTCATTTATAACTTATCAACTGGTCTAAAGGAACACAGTTGGCAAAAACAAAACGATAATATCAGTGAATAAAAAGTTAAACCTGTCATTTTATTTCCTATACAGTTAGTTACTAGTGTTATCTACCATCCTTCACTTTAATTACATGACAGGTTGTTGTATTATTTAATGTTTGTTTTCATTATGGCTAAAATGTTAGTCATGTGAAAAATTAGTTGAATACATCTTTTTAGAACTTTTTGGATAGTTTTATTTTGTGACAATCCTCTTATACTAATCCTTCTTGATTCCTTTTATAAATAGGAATGCTAATTATACTAAAATTATACAAAATAAATTGTTAATTTCTGTATTTTTACAATATTGAAAATTTCAAGATAGTACTTCAAATTATAGCAGTTGATATATATTTTTTCCATTATTTCTTGAAATAGTATGGTACACCTCCAGAACTTTCTCCTGGCCAATGTAGTTTGCATCCCTCCCAGTATGTCATTATGTCAATGGAGGATGAAGATTGGCCTTCTGATTCGGAAGTGGTAAGGAATAACTGAAATCTAAGTATTTAGAATATGTGCTTTTTAATATTAATTACAAACATGGTATATTTTATATTGTATTATATGTCTGAATACAGAAATACTGTTATTTGACTTGGAAAAAATGTATTATGGTTGTTCTTTTTAAATTATTTGATAAATATAAATTATTTTTATTCTTTTACCTAGGAAGATCTACTTATTAAAATTAAGCTTTTGTTAATGCACAAATAATTTATAAAATAATATTATTTTCAATTTTTTTTAATGGTTCTATTATTATTATTATTATTATTATTATTAGATGTTTAGAAGTCATTCACCAAGATGGTTCAACTTCTAGAATAAAGAACTAAAATTTATATCTAAGTTTAACTCTGATTTACAGATGTTGTTATGGCAAATAATTCTGAAACAAAGAAGTTCCACTCAATTTTTTTCAAAAAAAAAAATATATAAAAATCATAGTTTCAGAACATAGGCAACTGTTAGGCCTTATTGACTCCTACATTTGTTTATTTTTCCTTGTTGTACAGTTGACTTTAAGGTAGATTGTCCTTATTTACATATAATTTCTTATTTTGGTTTTTACATGAAACCATGATGCATTTTTTTTTTTTTTTTTTTTAATTAC